AAAAAATGAATATACTGTCTCCACTCGATTATCCGGACTATATGGGAAGGACGCCGGATAATCAGGTGTTCCGGATAATGGTACTTTTTCACCTCTGAGTCCAAAACTAACCATTTCCAACTATTTTTATACTACAAATAACATAATTTGAATTGTCTTGCCACATATAATTATTAAATATTCAACTAGAAACCTCAACTTACCTTGTTGTTGCTCATCTTCTTGATTGATGCCACACATCTTGAAGTTAAAAATTCTTGACAATTTACGTAACCTATACTAACACAACACTAAAATTAACACTTAAAATTACTGTACAGTTCATTAAGCAAAGTTAGTTTTGACTGCCAGCTGCGGAAGCCTCACTGGTTGAAGGCATTTGACTTGCCGGTGACGCCTCATTTGTTGAAGGCGCTGGGCTTGCCTGTGACGCCTCATTTGTTGAAGGCGCTGGGCTTGCCTGTGACGCCTCTCTTGATGAAGGCGCTTGGCTTGCCTGTGATGTCTCACTTGTTGAAGGCGCTTGGCTTGATTTTCTTACCATATAAGAATCAAGTTTAGCTTGCCTTCTGTGTTCAATGGCCTGTTGCATGATCAGCTCTTTGGTTCCCCTCAGGCTTCACTTCACTTGAAGTCGACCGGCCATTTTCACAAAGTTGTATAACACGTAACTTGTCTTTAATTGTTAGGAGAACCTTCTTCCTCTTAACACCTCCAGAATGATTGATGCTGCTACCAGACATAATCTTGGCCAAAAATGTTCAAAGTTACTATGAAAATAAAAAAGTTATTTAAAAAATATTTCACTAATGCTGCAGCACTGTGGTATAACACGAGGGATGGGAGCACATGGGATGACCAGGATTGGACATGTCCACTTGGGGCATCTATAACACGTTACGTAGGCCGCCAGGAGGAAAAACTCACAATATTTTTGAAGGAAACTTCAGCCTGTGCAAATTGTTTTTAGGAAACTTACATATATTTGTTATTACATAATTTCTAGTATTTCTTTTGTTTTTGGCTATGATGAATTGTTCTAAAATTAATGGTAATTCCTGTACCCAGGTAGTCCCTCCTAACGCTCCCCTCTCCCCCGACACGACCCACCCACCCCACCCCCTCCTCCACCATGCGCCTTGAGCCACAGCCAGAAGGGATTAATACGGTACGGGCAGCAATTAACCAGCTCCGATATTTTATTCGGCTAAACCAGCTTTTATCCGACTCCCATGGCCATTTTGGCCGGATATTGAGATAACTTTATCCGGTCACGATTTTGGCCGTATAAAGGCGTTTTCCGGATGTTCGAATTCCAGATAATCAAGTGTCTACAGTACAAGAAAATGGCCCCTGCAAAGTTCAGGATGGTTTCTCCTCTTATCAAAATAAAAGCAACTCGAAGAGCACTAGCAGGAATGAAGAGAGTTACCACAATGTGTTGATGCATCATATCAGGCAAAATGACTGAGGTTGTCTAAGAATCAACAAGCTAGTCATGCAGCCACCTTGCAGCATGCAGGTGTAATTAAAGAGTGAACTGCCTCATGACTGGTTGGCTCGCTTAGTGCAGTGTCTCGTGTCTTGTGTTCTGTGTTCTATTTGCGATGCTGATTGTTTTTGTCTTGCCCACATTTCTGGTAGCCTTTTCATGGTTACTGATCTACCATCCACTTTGCCTTGTGCCTCTATAGAGGGGCCAGGTTTTGGCCTCTAGTCATCAGTAGGCATAGCCTGGCATGGATTGACTTGGGTGGAGATATCCAGGTAGCTAGTAACAAGGTGCCACCTGTTATAGAGCCTTCCCAGAAAATGAGTTATGGAAACAAAGTAATGTCGTGTCTTTTGGGGCGGTGGAAAGTGGTGAGTGGGAGGTAGTGACTGGCAGTGTAATTATCTAAGTGTAGTTACAGGATGAGAGCTACGCTCGTGGTGTCCCGTCTCCCCAGCACTCTTTGTCATATAACACTTTGAAATTACTGACGGTTTTGGCCTCCACCACCTTCTCACCTAACTTGTTCCAACCATCTACCACTCTGTTTACAAAAGTGAATTTTCTTATATTCCTCCAGCAGCTTTGTTTCATTAGTTTAAATCTGTGACCTCTTGTTCTAGAAGTTCCGGGTCTCAGGAATTCTTCCCTATCAATTTTATCGATTCCTGTTATTATTTTGTACGTAGTGATCATATCTCCTCTTTTTCTTCTATCATCTAGTTTTTGCATATTTAATGCCTCTAACCTCTCCTCGTAGCTCTTGTCCTTCAGTTCTGGGAGCCACTTAGTGGCATGTCGTTGCACCTTTTCCAGTTTGTTGATGTGCTTCTTAAGATATGGGTGCCATACAATCACTGTATATTCCAGCTTTGGTCTAACATAAGTTGTGAACAATTTCTTTAGTATTTCTCCATATATGTATTTAAAAGCAATTCTGAAGTTAGAAAGTGTAGCATAGGCTCCTCGCACAATGTTCTTAATGTGGTCCTCAGGTGACAGTTTTCTATCTAGAACCACCCTTAGATCCCTTTCTTTGTCAGAATTCTTTAAAGATTTCTCACATAATTTATAGGTTGTGTGGAGTCTATGTTCTCCAATTCCACATTCCATAACATGGCATTTATTCACATTAAATTCCATTTGCCAAGTGTTGCTCCGTATACTTATTTTGTTCAGGTCTTCTTGAAGGGCATGACAATCATCTAGGTTTCTTATCTTCCCTATAATCTTAGCATCATCAGCAAATATGTTCATATAATTCTGTATTCCAACTGGTAGATCGTTTATGTAGACAATGAACATTACCGGTGCAAGAACTGAACCCTGTGGTACACCACTCGTGACATTCCTCCAATCCAATACATTACCTCTGATTACTGCCCTCATTTTTCTGTCAGGAAATATTTCATCCATGTTAGAAGGTTACCTGTCACCCCTCCAATATGTTCCAGTTCCCAGAATAACCTCTTATGTGGAACTGTCGAAAGCCTTTTTTAGGTCCAGATAGATGCAGTCAACCCAACCATCTCTTTCCTGTAAAATCTCTGTGGCTCTATCATAGAAACAGTAAGTTCGTTACAAAGGATCTTCCGGATCGAAAACCATACTGTCTGTCTGATATTATATCGTTTTTCTCCAGGTGTTCTACCCATTTAGTTTCAATTATTTTTTCCAATATTTTGACTATTACATTTTTTATGCTACAGGTCTATAATTGAAGGGGTCTTCCCTGCTGCCACTTTTTGTAGAGTGGAACTATGTTAGCCTTTTTTTACACATCAGCTACAACTCCTGTACACAGGGATTCCTGAAAAATCAGTTGAAGTGGAATGCTGAGCTCAAGTGCATATTCTCTCAGAACCCATGGTGAAACTCCATCTGGACCAACTGCTTTGTTCTTACTTAGCTCCTTGAGCATTTTTTCCACTTTGTCTCTAGACACCTCTATGTGCTCTATGTTGTTCTCTGGAATTCTTATTGTGCCTGGTTCCCTGAAGATTTCATTTTGTATAAACACACTTTGGAACTTTTCGTTTAATGTTTCAGTGTGAGGGGTCCTTGAAGCTGTATGAATATTTTAAGTTTTTGCACCAACTAATTGTCATTGTTTATTATTCTAACGCTGAAATGATTGCACATGAAGTCTCACTTATACATTAGAATGAGAACAAGATTTGACTTGCAACCCTCTCTTTTCTTGCTATTCTGTCTGGTAATTTGCTCAAAGTTTACCAAATAAATGTAATTAGTAAAATAATTGATGAACTCTAACAAAAATAAAAGTTAAAAAAAATGCTTTGAAGTTCACCCTGTTCATTTGTGAATGCTTTCATCTTTTTTAATCAGAAATCATATATGGTCTCCCATCATGGCAGTTTTCCAGTGGCCTTGGTATCTTCTCCCCATTGTTTCAATGTCTTGGTGAAACCTTTCACTGTGCTCCTCACTGATGTCACCTCAGTTTTCACAGAAAATATCAAGATGCAGGTGCAAAAAAAAAAAAAATGCATCTTTGAAGACATGCAGGAGCCTGTGTTTTTATAGCTTTCAGTAATCCCTGCCACCACCTCCTTATAGTTAGGATCTTTGTGATTAACTGGAAATCCATGAACTACACCGCATAATGCACACCATGCTTCCCTGTCAACGTTGCTCATCTTTATTTCAAGTTTTTTTTTTATTTCAACATCGCATTTACTTGAGATCCATCCTTGACTTTGGCATCAGAGAACTAATTTACCACCACAGAACTTTAATTTTCCAGTCTATTTCTTCAGTTAAATACATTATAATGACTCAGGGGGACATTATAAAAACCAACAATGCTACTCAAAACATACTTTATTACTGGTTTTTATTATTATTATTATTATTATTATATTACAATATTATCATAATTACTATTATAATTATATTAATTATTTAATTTTGTATTACATTATCAGTAATTTGCATGCTTTTATTTATCTCTCTTGGGAAATATATATAATTATATTACTCTTTTATTATTAAATCAAATAATGGTGAGATGAGTGAAGAAGTAACTTTTATTAATGCAGTTCGTGAAGAAAATGAAACATTCCCCTTACATAAATAACTTAAACAGCATTAGGCTTTGTTGCTTCTTTGACTACTTCATTGCATTAGGGTAATACAATTTGTTATGCCAATACCGTTGGCTTATAACTCTTGATGGGGATGTGTATTATTGCAGTTGATAATATGGTGGAGATGAAGATTGTGTCAACATTTGATGGTGATGCATTATTTTTCAGTTGTTCTTGGAGGCTTTTGGGTCACTTCATAGTGGTTTCCTATTGCGTGTGTTTTTGCACTTGGTAGTTCTGTGTTTTTTAGCTGATGGTTGTGTGTTATCCTGCTGGTGGTGATGTTATACAAATGTGTAACATTGGGTCTTGTGATCATCAGGCAGTGATTTTGCAGTACTTCACTGGAGAGCGTGGTACTCTGCCAAGTATATTGATACGTATCCGGTACATTGCAGGGTACTGTGATAAACCACGACAGCGAGCACAAGAGTTCCTACATGGGCACCGGTCCTGGGGCGGCGGCGGCAGTTGTGGGGCGCCTTTCTCGCCAGGGGTCGTCTGTGGACTCATCGCACTCAGCCACTGTGCATGTCCACACACCAGAGTGCTGTATGTATGGGCATCCACACACCCCACAGCCCCGCACCCGCGCCTCCCCCACCGGTGATCAGGCTGAGTGTGACTTCCACTGCTGCTCGCTGCATGAGGAGGGCGGTCGTATCCAGGCAAGTCGACACCATCTGCATCATCAGCAACACCATGTGCACCATCACCAGCCAGGGCAACAGGTGCACGAACAACAAATACAGCAGCAACAGTATCAGCAGCAGCAACAGTTGCAACAACAACAACAGTTGCAACAACAGCAATTTCAGCAACAACAGTTGCAACAGCAGCAGTTGCAGGAGCAGCAACAACAGCAGCGACAGCCGCAGCAGCGTCAGTCTGTCTGCCGTATTCATGAACAACCCTGCAACTGCTGTTGAGTCACACCACCCTCTAAATAATGCTGTGTTTGTATGAGCATATCTGGTAGAGAGCCAGCAGTCTCGGGTACTGCCGGCTTTCCATCAGCGTCTCATGCGCATCAGCGGTGGCAGCTCAGGCTAACATCCTTTGGGTTTTTCACTCCTACTCCTGCAGCCTGCCTTTGCTCAACACCTTAACACTTTACCATCATATTACTAAAATATGGCTTAGTTACTCTAGTTCAAAAATTTAAGGCAAAATGCCTTATTCACTGCCATACAACTTATTGATAGCGTTTAATATTAATACAACTAATATTAGGTCTTTGATGCTGGTTTGTGTGTCAGAACTGCCATTTTTAATTTTTGCCTACCACCATTTTTGCTGATAGAAATTTTTAAAGTTGCTTGATAAAAACAGATGATCAAAAGGCAAATCTAATTAACATAAACATAGAACAATCAAAAACATTAAAAGGATTTTACTCTATACATATGCTTTCATAGGCTACTGCATATACCATGCCGGCCAATTTGTTGCTAATGTATTGGTTACATGGCAACAAAGTTTTTGATACAGAACTACACTCATGAGTACTGCCATAAACTATCGGCGATAGTTTTCTGTACATATTAATCTGGCATTTTTGTATCACTTGATAATTTTAGATCAAATAACTAAATTTAGGCTATATATATACAGTATCTCATTTTGAAAGTCTAAAATTTTTCATAACTAAACTGCTAGAATAGATTGGGGTTTTACGTCTAGTCAAATCTTGTAAATTCCTTTCCATAAGTGCCACTTTAGAAGTAAATGATGCTGTAGATAGGTTATATGTTTGTATAGTTATTGTCATCATAATATTTATAATGAATTCTTATTGTTTACTGAAGTAATTTGCCCTTGACATTTTCAGCAAAAAAAAAGTGGTACAGTAATTAAGTTCCAATCTTAGATTCAAGTATATATATGCCTCTCGCATGCAGGACTTTTACTGATAAATTTGGTAAAAAGATTATACATAATTTAAATTTTAAATATTAGAGGTCTAGACAAAATGACATTTTCACATACTTGAACCACTTAACCTAATCTAAATAAGATCAGGAAGAAGGGAGGAGAGAAAACTGTAATGAACTCATTAACCCTTACACTGCCCCAGTCACTATCTGTGATTTCTTCCCCGTTCCAATCATCATATGCAATTTTTCCAATTTGGTTTGCTAATTATTTTTAGCAAAGTGTACTTCGATGTAGTACTGTACTTTTTATATAGCTTCATCATTTAAGGGGTTAAATAGAATAATTATAGAAATTTGTACATTATTTCCTGTGGCATGAGATGGCAAATTTACATAGCAGAGGATTCGTACTTATTAATTAATGTACTGTATTGTAAATAATAGTCCTTTGTTTAAATATCAGTATAGTAGTTAAGAACTTTTTCATCATGGTGCTGCTTATTGTTTTGAATTTACAAGATTTGACGAGGCAATGATAACATTTGGATGGTGAGGCTGTTATCATTAAGTATATTTTAAAAAGATAGCTGTATTATCATGAGGTGTTATGAATCAGTGTCCGAGATATCTGATCACTGCCCAGTGAGGAAGGCATTGCAGCTCAGCTCTTCTAGGAGATATAATAAGGCCGAGCCACTTGTTACTGGCCCTTGTTGATCTTCCTAAGATTGCTGAACTTGGTGACTTCCTCCACTATTTGACTGCCTCTTATACCTCTTAATATTGCATTATTCAGTGTTGCATTTTTGTAGTTTCTGAAAGGATTGGACAGTGAGCAGTAAAAGTTCTATGGAAAGTGCTTGTAAATTAAAATATAGCAACTAAATTCTAATTACTTCACTTAAAAAGCTGGCACTAGCTTGAATATGTGACATTTCATTAATAAGTCTCATAATATAATTGGCTTTACAGTATTTTTGTATGTATTAAACTTCTTCCATAACACTTTGTATGATTTAAGGTCTTTAAGAAAAAGTTGGTCTTCGAGTAGTTGTTTAATGCTCACTGTCTTACCCCATCATAGGACAAAGATTTTGTCCAACTGCCCCGAATAATTGCATGGCATTTTCCTTTTCTGTTCCCTGTAGGTTTTTAAAGTTGTTTTCCATTTATAAGCATCGTCTTATATTTAGTCTTGTTTTTTCTGTAGTGCAGTGCTATTTTTGTATCTACTGTAGCAAAATGCAGATTTTACATATTATTGTTCAGTACTGTCTTAATTAAACAACTTTTTCAAACCCTCCCCTCTGAGAATTTTGTTTCTCTTAGAAACTAAACTTTCACATTTTCAGATGAGTTTTCATTTATGAGTGTCTGAAGAATTGTGCCTGCCTTGGTCAGAATCCTTCTAGGCTGCTTAATAAAGCTTTTCATTTAGATAAAGTGCCAGATGGTAACCCCTTTCCCTCCATTTTGCATCTATGTTATACCTTACACACAGTATCCCTTGTTTAGTAATATAAAAATATTCTCCATATTTTTAATAGCAAGAAGTTGCACATTAGCATTATTTGACCCAAAAAGAATTACTTTCGGGGCAGATGGACCTCTTAGGTTGCTTTTAGCGTGGTGGCACAGTTCTGCTGGTGGAGAGTAAACAGCCAGGTCCCCCTTTTTTATGACTAATGTGGCAGTGTTTGGTGAACTCAATGTCATTAAAGATTCCTTACATATAAAAGGAAAGAGTGTTTGTATTTTATATGAGGTTTTGAAGGTCTTTTATACATAGAAGTGCAATAAGCTTCAGTTTGAGATGAGTGATTGTGAAAGTGGTGCAGCTTTTGAGTTCACAAGACCTTGCCAACAGTACAGTGATAAGGGAGACATATCCTCCTAACTCATGCAATACTAAATATATCCATTGCAAATGATTTTAGGCAACACTTAGAAGGATACATGCTCTTCCCCATCAGTTTAGCTGCCTGGGCTTTGGCAGATTTTGATTGGCTTGTAGTAACCCGTGTAGTGAAAAGTCGGAATTCAAGAAAATATCTTTAAGATCACCAGAATAGCTTAAAAATTCGTCTTCCTTCAGCTTGAGTTTATAAGTGAGCCACAGTCATTTTGTTTTAATAATCAATATATGTTGAATTCATGAAACACGAGTATTATGGTGGTCATCAAGTACTTCTTGAAACTGGGCTAAATGACTCTTGCAGCAAGCGGGTTTGGGCTTTTTGTCAGTTAGACATGTTTTAACATTGTTCAAGCAATGATGTAGAACCTTTAGCATTTAATACATATTATCTGAAATTTCTTAATGTTTGTTAAGTTTTGCTCTAACTTATAGTTTTGCTCTACCTCATAGTTCATAAAAAATTGAGAATGCATGCGCTATATCGCTCACATTCTTCAAACAATTTCATATTTTGGTTAGTAACAACCAGATTTATTACTCTTATTTTGCTTCAGGTGTTATTGTAGAGGAATTATTACAGTTATATTGGCTGAGTAACTTACTAAGCTTCTTCATATCACAAGGCACCATATTCTTCAATTGAAGTAGTTTTGTAATATATATCTCAGTGCTAGAGATGTTAATACTACCTCCTCCTTCATTAGTATGCCTTGTCCAGTGGATTCAGTTATAATTTAAAATTTATATCACACACACACACACACACACACACACACACACACACACACACACACACACACACACACACACACACACACACACACACACACACACACACACACACACAAACACACAAAACGAACCAGAGGACACAGATTCAAGTTAAGAGGTGCCAAAAAAATTAGAAAGTTTTCTTTTGCAAACAGAGTGGTAGACAGTTGGAACAAGCTAAGTGAGAAGGTGGTGGAGGCCAAAACCGTCAGTAGTTTCAGTGTTATATGACAAAGAGTGCTGGGAAGACGGGATACCCCGAGCGTAGCATTCATCCTGTAACTACATTTAGGTAATTACACACACACACACACACACACACACACACACACACACACACACACACACACACACATACACACACACACAAACACACAAAACGAACCAGAGGACACAGATTCAAGTTAAGAGGTGCCAAAAAAATTAGAAAGTTTTCTTTTGCAAACAGAGTGGTAGACAGTTGGAACAAGTTAAGTGAGAAGGTGGTGGAGGCCAAGACCGTCAGTAGTTTCAAAGCGTTATATGACAAAGAGTGCTGGGAAGACGGGACACCACGAGCGTAGCTCTCATCCTGTAACTACACTTAGGTAATTACACTTAGGTAATTACACACACACACACACAATGAGCCACAGAGATATTAGAAAGAACTTTTTTAGTGTCAGAGTGGTTGACAAATGGAATGCATTAGGAAGTGATGTGGTGGAGGCTGACTCTATACACAGTTTTAAGTGTAGATATGATAGAGCCCAATAGGCTCAGGAACCTGTACACAAGACCGTCAGTAGTTTCAAAGCGTTATATGACAAAGAGTGCTGGGAAGACGGGACACCACGAGCGTAGCTCTCATCCTGTAACTACACTTAGGTAATTAATTACCTGTTGATTGACAGTTGAGAGGCGGGACCAAAGAGCCAGAGCTCAACCCCCGCAAGCACAACTAGGTGAGTACACACACACACACACACACACACACACACACACACACACACACACACACACACACACACACACACACACACACACACACACACACACACACACTCTCACACTCACGATTTTTGTTAGGCCAAAGGTAGAATATGCTGTGGTTGTGTGGTGCCCATATCTTAAAAAGCACATCAACAAACTTGAAAAGGTGCAAAGACATGCTACGAAGTGGCTC